GCTACTCAGAAGGCTGAGGCAGGAGAATCGCTTGAACCCAGGAGGCAGAGGTTGCAGTGAGCCGAGATCGCGCCATTGCACTCCAGCCTGGGTAACAAGTGAAAACTCCGACTCGGAAAAATAAATAAATAAAAGAAAGTATTTCTAGTTATTATAATGCAGTCATGCACACACTAGAACAAGAGATGTCACAGTGAAAAACACAGGTCCAAGAGCTTTTGCTTGCTGACAACTGCCAACAGCCAAGTGGCTTGCTACCAGACTTGGGGTTAAGGATAAATAGATACAGATCTCCTCCAACAGTGGTGTCCTCCAGCTTTCTTGCATATTTGAGAAAAACGAAGCTGAGCAAAGCCACAAATAAAAGAATGCCTGGTAACTTGCTACCATCACCTTCCAAATCACCTTGGCCTTTGGCAGTGGCCAAGGGGTGGCTCTCCATCAAAGATGAAGGACTTGAGACTCTGGTCTGGCCTTTACCATTTAGAATCATGCTCTCCCTTGTCGTCAATTTTGAATATAAACAGTGTTTTACAGTATGGGAAGAAATTTCAGGATTTAAATGACGGGGAAAATGAGAAAGTTGCAGATACCCATCTCATCAGTTAAATTGGCTGCATTTCCAATGTAAACTGCCTCAAATCCATTGTGGGTCAGTGTGTGTGTGTGTGTGTGTGTGTGTGTGTGTGTGTTGGCAGGAGTGTGAAAGAAGCCTGGCTTGATGGCTAGACAGAGAGATGGGCACGAATTCAGTGTGTGCATTAAAAACCAATGCTAGGGTTTGGGTATCTGGGTTAAACTCCTAGCTCTCCTGCCTAGTAGCTATATGTTCTTGGGCAAATTGCCTAATTTCTCTGTGCTTTACTGTTTTCCTTCTGTGTGATTAAAGTAACAAGGATACCCACCATAGGACTATTGTGTAAATTCAATGAGAGAAATATGTATATTTCCATTAAAACTTCAATATTAGGCCTTGTGAGAAATTATTCTCCCATAATACAAAACATAAAGCTTTGGCATACCTGAAACCCAAGTTACAAAACCAGACAGGAGAATTCTCAAAACATAAATTACTTAGGAGGTGGGATAGAAAGAGCAGGAGAAAAAGCTTCAAACCCAACACTGAACAGACATGGCAATGGGGATAGCTAACATGCAATTCAAAAGGAAAGGTAGCCAAACTTCTGCTCCTACTAGAATCACAGGCAAATACTAGAGATGTCTGAAGCTCAATGAAGTAGAGATGTATTTTCTTCCCAAAGCTACAGTAAGATGACAGGCAAAGTAGAGAAGATCATCCATTCCTTTGTTCATTCAGTTGTTTACTACCTATTTATTATAAACCTACAATGTCCTAGGCATTGTTCTAGGAGCTGGAGATGCCAAAGCACTTGTTCGTTTGTTGAACAGACCATAATTCAGAACTTACAAAATTGTCAATAAGTATTTATTTCCATCTGCAATTTTTGATGTCAGTCATTGACTACTGCCACTGAATTCCTGGTGAGACGTGACTTCCTGATTACACATTCATCGTCCAACAGAGACATATGACTATATACCCTGAGCCTAATCTGAACTTGCATTCCCACCCTTGTTGTCCCCTCCCCATCCTGGAGTTTTATTGTTAGAGGTCCCAGACAGTCTTATTAGTCAGAGATTGGTTTTATTTCCTCTCGTTGGGAAAATTTTCCATACTGGCAAATGTTCCGAGATTCATGCAAAAACACACACAACCCCCACCCCAGGGGAAGCAAAGGACTCATCAAATTCTCTGTTTGGAAATATTTCAGCCCCTTTTCTCTGAAGTCACATTCTAATTAGTTTCTCCAAACCGCTCTCTGGCTGCATCTCCACAACCCCAAAGGGCTGGCCACGCTCTGCAGCTTTGTAGCTGATAATGCATGGAGGTTCAGCGGGCTTGGAACTCTCTAGTAAACAATATTTTGAATGTATTTTATTACTTGTCACAATGGACTTTGAACTACATTTGAATAATTCATACTCCAAACTATGGTCTTTTCTAAGTTATCAAGATAATTAAGAGAATAAACATTGAGTCAGAAAATAATTATTCATTTTGGCTAACCTTGCCGTTCTAACTGATCTGCACTTACCAAGCCCAGTAAAGAAGTGTTGTATGATGTTTTTAAAGAACATGCGTGACTCTCTCTATTAAAAGACTTATATGAGATATTGGTCAACATGTGTGTCTGTCATAAAGTGCTCAAAAATATCAGCTCCTTGATATCCCCTGACTTTATGAAGCACGTAGACGCAGGCTTGGAAGAATGCCACGTATGAGTGCCAACTCTTGTTTTTAAAACGGCTCTCTAAAGCATAAAGATCTATAGAAATTTTGACTCCATTCGATTAGCCAGTTTGGAAACATGGGCCTTTGAATGGAAAATGAAAGGACAAGTTGTAGAAGGTGAGCCAGAGGAATACTTGTCTGTCCTCTGAGATGCTCATAAGATTGGCAGCAAGGCTGGTTCCCCATAGGATGCTGATAAGAAGGCTTTACTAGCCACTGTGTTCCCTTGGCCTCCTGGTACAGGGTGACCCTGCCCAGGAGTGGTGGGTTCTCACTCCTCCCAGCATCACCTACAGAAACTCAGCAAATGTGTGCACCTCAACGTGCTCCCAAACATACTTGGTACACTTTGAATTCTTTTCTTGGACATCAAGTTCACCTCGGAAATCAGATATGCTAATCTCAGAGGAGTGAAGCCACTCAAGAAAGAGTCTGAGATCTATGGTACAGCTTGCTTTTTCTAGGATTTTCTGAAAGAAAACTAAAAAAGTAAACTTTTCAGAGAGGCCTTGGCAAAAGAAAAAGTGGGATTTTACATAATTTTAATTGGAAAAAAAATAAAAATAAGGGCTTTATATTCATGATCATTTAGTATTTCTGGTAAAGACACTACTGAGAGAGAAAACATCACAGGCCAGTGAGTCTGTGTCAACCATTGCACTATAGATGGCCTGGGCTCTGCCCACTGGCAGGTTCCTCCTTTAACAGAAAGTTCGGTATCCACCATGTGGACACTCCTCACCCTTCAGATCCGAAAGTTAATACACCCCAGAATACTTGATCACCCACATGAAAGGCGCAATGCTAACACTACAGTTCCTCTTGCTGAGTTAGAAAATTGTTGGGTATTAATTTGGAAAGGATGAGCAGCGCTGGGTTAGAAAGAGCCCTCACTTCCAGGACACCCACCTGGGCTTCAGTAACAACCCCTTGTTCAGGGTGGAATTTGGGTTTTCTTTTTCCTCCTAACCTTTCTGAGTCTCACTTCTCCCATCTGTAAAACAGAGTAATATCTATACTACAGCAAATGATTAGGGTTTTTTTTTAATGTGAAAATACAATCCATGGGGCCTGTCCCATAAAAGGCATTAGATAGGAATTATGTAAAAATAGAGAATGCAAATATTACAAAAAGAGCTCATGGCACTAAGAAACTGGCTGAGTGAAAATGGGGCATTTTAAATCTCAAATAATGTATCTTCAACTTAGCAAATGTATCATACATCTCCAAATGTGGGGGATAAAAGCAATATAGATTTTTTTTAAGAATTTCACTTATTTTTTAAAAACTTTTATCCATTTTTCCCCTAGATTATTTCTCAAACTTACTGAGAAAGTTCCCGATCCTCCCTCCTGTCCTTTTCCACAAAATCTCTCTCTCTTTGTCTCTGTCTCTGTCTCTGTCTCTGTCTCTCTCTCTGTCTCTCTGTCTCTCTCTCTCTCTTTGGCAGCCTCATTCATTCCCTCACTCTGGAGAGTCACATACAACAAATAAAAATTCTAAAAATTAGTGAGAAGATGAGCATGCACTTCTCTGCTATTTCAGTAGATAGCACAGGATGGTTACTGCTGGAGATGCTGAGGCTGGCTGAACAAAAGGGAAACAGGGGACTGCGTCTCCAAGGGAAGACGAGGCAGTGAGGAAAGAAATTAGGCCAGGAACTCAGGAAGTGGCAGAAGACTGACAGATAATCAGCTGAGAAGTTTGTGTACACATAACAGCTTTGCAAAGGCCAGAGGTTTCAACAAGATCCAGGCCACGAGGAGCCCGGAGGCCAAGGCCAAGGCTAAGGGGAGTGAGATTCTTGCTTTGTGCACACAACTTAAGGAAATGCTAAAAAATCAGTTATTGAGATAAATTATATTAAGTGTAACACAATAGTTCTTGATAAAATTGAATGCAAACATTTGTGCTTAAAAAAAGTTGTTTTTTTTATTTATTTATTTATTTTTTTTAGATGTTGTCTCTCTCTGTTGCCAGGCTGGAGTGCAGTGGCATGATCTCGGCTCACTGCAACCTCCACCTCCCGGGTTCAAGTGATTCTCCTGCCTCAGCCTCCCAAGTAGCTGGGACTACAGGCATGTGCCACCACGCCCAGCTAATTTTTGTATTTTTGGTAGAGACGGGGTTTCACCATGTGGGCCAGGAAGGTCTTGATCTCTTGACTTCATGATCCGCCCACCTCAGCCTCCCAAAGTGCTGGGATTACAGACATGAGCCACCGCGCCTAGCCAAAAATATCAGAATTTTAAGGAAAGACAGGATCTGACCCTGAACTTGTAGGACTCAGCTCACTCACCTTACACTCATCTCAGTCCTCCTGGGATTATGCTGGCTTTATTTAAAATTTTGATATTTTCTTCATAGATCTTTTGCATTCTTTTTTTATCTTTTAAAATGTTGCATGAAAATATTATTTGAGTACTGAGACTTTTCGTGCCACTTTAAATTCTGTGCCTTAAGCGAGCGACATTCTTGCCTCACCCTAGTGCTGGCCTACCTGAGTGAAGGAGTTGCTTCAAGAAAACCCAGAGAGGCTATATGGGGGCAACTGGGGAACCAATGGTGACAACTTCTAAAGCACTGTTCGTGGTGCCTTGAGGAATCCCAATATTGAATTATATTCTCAAGTCTATGTAAGAAAAATAATTAGTAGGTGATGAAAGTAGGCAACAGAGACCACAAATATGACACTCTTGTCTTTATTGGTATATGCGTTTGGCTCTGAATGATCAACTACATCACAAATTCCAGTACAAAAGTCTCATTTTCGGATAGATCATATAGATAAAGAATTCCAAGTTCCATCGGTCACTCATACATACACGTGGCAAGCCCTGGAGTTTCTGAACATAGGAAGAGAACGCAAGTCATGTGTTAGGTCCACTCTCTTGCGTGAAATGTGGAAGAGGGAAATAAAATTAGGCAACATTTAGCAATCAACAGAACCCCTTCCCTATCCTACCGCAGCCCAACATGGTGGAGCAGCAGCGGGCTGAACGGCTGAGACCAGGGCAACAAGGCAGCAGGAAGTGCCCAGGTAGGAGGAGGGTCCTTGGCCACATGGGGAGCTTACAGAGATAATCACAGTAATACACAGATGTAGTGCCCATTAGCCAGCAGGGTTTCCTTGAGGAACATCAATCCATACCCACCCACTCAAAGTCCCCTCTCTCCAAAAGTAGATAGATGGTGTGGGGACCATATGAACTAATCCCCCAACCCAGCAACCCTTTACATAGCTCTGCCCTCACACCAAAGCTCTTCCTCACACCGAGACAACAGGAGGCACAAAGGCCCTCAATGACATGAATCCTCTCAAAGAGAACAAAAGAGGGCACTGAGATGTTAACGCCAAGAACTATGCCGATGAATCAGCCATTAGACTCAAATCTGGCTAAGATCCACTTTACTTAAAAATTCAGGATGTAATATGTAGGAAGTGGCAGAGCATATACACAACCCGAGAGGGAAAGTGTGATTCAGGACATGAGTGATGATCTTATTCTGCCTGCTACTTGGCCGCTGTCGCCCTCCCCAAAGCCCAGGAGTTTGGAAGTCAGCGGCGTAGCTACGTATCACCAATATCTTACTAAGAAAACGAGTGTTTTCCTCTTTCAAATCCAATGTCCATAAAAATCTAGGTAGAATTCAGTGAAATCAAAAATCTCACATGTAAATAGAGGAATTTTACCATCAACTCAAAACAAAGACTCCTAAGAGGGAAAAAGACAGACTAAATGTATTCATTCTGACAACACTTGGGGAAGAAAGGCTACCCTTCTAAATGAGGCTCAAGCAGCTACATGTATTGATCATTGTTTCTGTAGATATTAGGAAATGGCACTAATGAAATTAGGAACTAGGAAGAAATGTGATCATTAGCTTCATAGTTCCTGAACCCTAATACATACGGAAAAAAGGGGAGGAGAGAAAAACCACGTGGGTAAAGATATTGATGTTTATGGAGGTAAAACCAAGATAGAGAAAATGTGAGACCAGTTAGTCCATCTGACTCAAGTACTCTATTAATAGAAGGTAAGAACATGAGTTCTGACCCTGGGTAAAGCAGTTAGTGCCTCTCTATTCCTCAGTAGTAGAGTGAAGACCAAATGACTTCAAAACTAAACCCTTTGGGTGTTGCAGGGAAGGGGAGTAAGTATTGAGCACGAAAACATAAATGGATCTGAACATTAATCATTCCTGTAGGAAAACAATTCAGGTGGCTGCTTAGTGGTGCCATATCTGCTTATTTTATAAGCAGACCTTTCATGTAATCTCTAGTAAAGACATTCCCTAAAGTGGACACTAGCTATTTTGATATAACTGCACACTATAGGGCTTTATCCTGTCCTCTCTGTATCAACCACTTTACTGGAAATTTAGGAATATGGCACTCAGTCCAAATGCCATTATTATGTAATGAGGAGCTTAGGTTCCACTTTATTGCACCCAAAAGTTCAATGGCATGGTTAAAAAATGTGTTCATTAATAGTAACAGGATAAAAAAGAATATTGATGTCTACCCATATACAGTAATGAATAAGAATAATATATAGAAACTAGGCTTATATTATTGTTTTCTTTCTGGGATTCCCCCCTGCCTTTGGTTCTGAAATCACACATATCTAATCTCTTACATCACAGAAACTTATTCATTTGAACTCATTTTTAGAATCTAGCCTTAATATTACTGTGCAAAATACCAACACTAACATATTATTGGATTTCATACTATTGATAGAAGCCTCCTTGCCAGAACCCCAGTCTAGATCTAGAGGCCTCAGACATCAGGAGAGGAAGGAAGGCTTTCATGATGAAAGATCCGGGGATCACTGGACAGCAAACTCCATCAAGTTTAAGCAAAGCTGGGAGTGACCAAAGGGAGACTCCGGCTCATCAGAGGTCCTTGCATAGCCAAGGGATCCTCAGTGGAAGAGAAGGCATCCCTAAATATTGGGAAATGTATGAGATGTAACTAGCTTGGCCCTTTAAGATCCAGCACACTCAGCTCTTTGAAAAGAGCTAGCTAGGGTGAAGAACTTGGAGGCAAAAAGTGATCATCTGCTTCAGTTGAGCAATAAACCGCATGTAGAGTTATCTGGAGTGATGACCCTAAATGAGTGCTCTCAGCCTGCCTTGTCAGAACAAGAGGGCCTCTCATTTCCTGAGTCTTTCCAGCGCATAACACAGGCCTCGTGTGCTCTGTGATACTTACCATATGAGAGTCTGACGTGGCCAGTTACGGCCAGACCCCCGCTCTTAACCCCTGCACATCCCCAAGGAAATACAAAATATGAAACTGGGAATAATACACCCAATGTGCTTCCTACACACTGTGTGGCACAATCACCCCAAAGGGAGCCATTACTATAAATATATTAACAGACTCCAGTACAAATAAAGGCAAGGACACATATGGTCAGACTTTATATTACAAGAGATTAAAAGGATACCCACAAGAGTAGAAAGCCATATATCCAAATGATGTCAGTGGTTAACTCTAACTGGTGGAATTACATGGGACTTTTCATTTCATCTTTGTTTCTTATGTTTTCCAGGTTTTCTACTATAATCTGTATTATTTATTTTTGTTTTGAAATACCCATTTTAGGGCACTTAAAAGCATTTTGGGTGAGGAAGACGATTCTATCTTACTAGCAAAAATCATTGGGCCTATACCAACTGGGATTGACCAACGCATTGCGGTCTGTTTAGGACTGTCCTGGTTTTAAAAATGAAAGTTTCACATATCAGGAACTGCCTCAGCATTCTCTCACTGACAGGAAGCAAACCCAAACAAAGGACAGAATGGATTCATCTCCTCCTTGGGCTGCTCTCTCAGTCTCAGGAGGCAGAGGCTCTTGCTTCCAGTTAGGGGCTGAGTCCAAGGAGAGAGATTCCTTTACGTGGCAACCAGGTTGAACTAAGAAGTAGCTCTATCCCCATTTCCTTCCTGGCCGTGGGTTAGAGAAAATGTTTCTTCTCTTGCCATTCAAGAGAAAGAAGAACAATCCAGAAAAACTAAACAAAAACCCACTACAACCTCAGCGATCAACCTCAGAGCAGCATCACAGCTCCCCAGCAAGGAGACCTGGCATGACAATCTGAGAAGAAGCCCAGCTATGGTGGTTACTCTCACAGGCTGGCAGAATTAGTAAAGACAGAGAAAAGCTGCACTTCCCAGGGAGGAAACCTGCACTTTGTTATAACAGCTGCCATAAAGGATTGAGCATCACATCCAAGAAAAACTCCAGTGGTCCCATCTCTACTTAACCAGAGGGAGCACTCAATTGTTCAAAGCACCTGGGTAGCAGGAGCTTCTTAGCAATGTAGGAGGTTACTCTGCAACTGTGTCTGCTGAGCTGGTCCTGGTCCACAATCTGCTGGCACATGCGAGAGTGACCAACCCAAGACCAAAATGGGGGCATAGCTTGATTGGATTCATCCTGTTGGTACACACACTCCAGTCAGGCTGGGCCTTGGGAAATACCCAGAACAAATACATTAGGATCCTCCATCTGCTGGGATGCTTCTAGAACATCACTGATGCTTTGGTGAAATTGGACTGAAATGTCTGATATGTGCAGGATGCAGAACTCCATCTTGGTTGGCTGATGATGAGGGAGTAAACGCAGTCTTCAGATTATCACTCTGAGTGTCTCCCTGACCTAAATCCATAACCTTTATTTTTGTTTTTTTTTCAGACACCAAACTTAGAACTGGAGTGTTTTCTCTAGGAGGTCTAAGAATACTATAATCAGGTGATCTTTCTTTTTTGATAACAAAGAATAATATCACCCAATGGTCAGATGCTAAAAGCATGATTTTACTTCACTGTGAGTGTGCTTGAAATTGGTTTGCTAACAAATCTTCATCTCGGTGCAGCTTATAATAACAAGGCTTACATTTTAAATGTAATTATGCAGCATGTATTCATTTCCTTTCTTTTAAGAAACTGAAGTTGCTTTTTTAAAGCATTATTTGATAGCTTCTTACCATCTCCTTTGGAGTTGAAAATGGAATATGATATCAAATTGTTGTAGCTAGCAATGGGGGGGCCATGGCACTGAGAGGGGGAAAGAATTGTACTGGGACCTCCAAAACAGCAGCAACGTACCATGAAGGTTCCCATGAGATGAGTCGTCAACCCAGTGTGCCATAAAAGAAGCAATTTTTAAGGATCCTAAAATAACTGCATTCTCTGTCCTAATGCTCATGCTGGGCAGAATGGACTTAGCTTATTTTTAAAGTGCAGGCCATGGCCGTCCAAGGCATACAAACAACTCCCAAAGCAGTCATTATTTGGCCAATTAAACAATTAGAAGAAAATATACTTTTGAAAGACAAAACATTAATAGGCAAAGTACAGAAGAAAGTGCTAAAGCAATTGTTTCTACCCGTTTATCAGTCCTATCTCTAACCATCAAAATGGACCATGGTCATTCGATTGCACTGAAGTCTGAAGATAATCTCCGGTAACTCTGAAGGGCCCCACACTCTTTGATCTAATAAGCTTCTGGGTCCTGGATATAATTCAGAATTTTTGCTCATGTGTACTCAAAGTAATACTGCAAATATGTTCAAAACCTCTGTGGTTCTGTGAAAAATATCACCTACATCCTTTCCCCTTATTGGTAAGACAATGACGAAGTGGGCTGTGGCTATTGAGGGGAGCAGAATGGGTGCTTTGTGTGATAGCTTTAGCTACTGTTAAAATACTCCCTCCCTTTATAAGGTCTTCTTTCCTCAGGTCTAGCTGGTCTATGAATCTGTGCTTATCTACATAATTGCCTAACAAGCATGTGACCACTAGGAAAACACATACGCGCACACAAACACACATACACACAAGGAAACACGCACATTAACTACAATAGCTGGAGAAGTATGGCACACTCTGGAGAAAATTTTTAAAAATCCATTTCATTGGAAATGGAATTAAATTGAAAAGAAAAAAAAATGTCAGAATACTTTATATGCCTCTGCCACAGGGAGTTCCTAGCCCTAGGCACATGAAGAGGGCATGCTCTGCAAGTACAAACACATCCAGGTCCATATTTAGAGACAATTTTAAGTCGATTTAGGCCTCAAGCCTAGGACCCTAGCTAATTTACAAGGCTGCTCTAGGGAAGACACAATTTTAGGGAGGACATCTATCGTGTTTGCTCCGACGGGAGAAGATAAGACGCACTCCCACCCTTCGAGAGAACCCAAGACTGATGATTTGGGGTTTTTGCTGGTTAGTGTGTTTTGTTTCTGTTGGTTTGTTTCGGCTCAGAAGGTGTGTTTCCATTGTTCCCTGTCAAAACCTTTCTCAGCAGGCAAGGAAAGGAAAGCAGCACACAGCTGCCCTTGAGCCGAGTTTGTGAATTTTACTGGGAAACCACCCCGTGCTGTCAGGTGACGTGGTGTTCAGACACGTCTAAACAAGCTAGTTGAATTAAAGACCAACTCCAGACTTGATGTTGCTGAGCTCCTCAGCTCCATCTTGCCATCCTGATTGATCGAGGAGATGGGTCTATAGTTAAAGTGGCAGAGTACTTTGAGGGGTTAGTCATTAGAGCACACTGCTTTGTCTTGGAAAGGCAACTTCTTGCTTGGCTAGGTTATGGAAGCTAAGGAGTGACGTCAAGATCTTGTCTGGCCAGAATTTGCAGATAACCATAGAACTCTTCTCCTCCATCAGGCATGGATTTAGCCTCCTTTAGTTCCTGCAGTGACACAGGAGCCTCCAAATACCAAATTATTATCAGGCGGTCTTGGGGGAACCTCTGGGCCCTGCAATAAAGTAGACAGACTTGCTATTGGAACGTGCTCGGGAGGAATTCAGCCCTGTTCAGATTGCTCTACAATCCTGCAAACCACCTCCGGACTTTGTAAATGAAACCCTCATATCACTCCAGATAGTGAAAACATACTTCAGGGGATATAATTGATCACCATCTTTCACTAAAATTATTTTATGCATCATTTTAAGAAGTTGGATTTGATCATGTTTGTTTATTATTTTGTTTTTAAAGCCAAACTATGCACGTATTGAGCTTGTATCACTCTGGACAAGCTACTTCTGAGTATCATTTGTAAAATAAGGTATTTTTATTCATTGATCCTTCAGGTCTAATTCAGAGTATCACAAACGGGTGGTAGACTGCGAGTCAAACCTGCCTCACACTGATATATTTTTATTTATCTCACCCAGTGTCTTAAATCTTGGGGAATCCACACAAAATAATAAACACCTGTTTTCTCTGGAAAAAAATTAGAATATCTGGCAATACCAGGCCCATACTCCAGCATGGTCCTCACTACCCCACATCATTTTTCTTCCAGCCTGTTTCTTACATTGACGTGCCTGATTCTTGTTGGTAATTGGGGTTTTGGACCCATGCTCTAACCTATTCTATTGTAATGCCTATCACGTTGCATTATGATTATATGATGATCTAACTATCGGCCTTGCCAGTGAGACTCCTTGAGAGCAGGGAACAAGCCATTATTTTCAAGAGCTCTCTAGTTCCTAGCATTAAAATAGTGTTATAAATAAATATTTAATGAATTGTCTTTATTATGTAAGTTAGATTCTTAAACTTCAGTGAAATGAATAAGATCATACATATAGATCATATACACAATAGATTCTTACAATTCAGTGATCTTTGTAAGATCACGTGTATATTCTAAAGTCAACATCTTTGAATAGCATGCAGTTTTAGGAAAGAGAAGTAAATAGGCCAGTTTTTGGCTCAAGTCTCTGATGGATCCATAAGAATAGTAACGTTGTACTGTCCATGTGATATTATGCTTTAAGCACATGGTAAGTTTTCTAAACTCTCTCTGAGATCTTCTCAATGTTTTTTTCATTGCAACTTCTTAAAAGAGCCCTTCTTTAGAGGTTCTTTAAAAGCTCACTTGTAAAAAATATTCAATGGGGCTCATGCCTGCAATCCCTCCCTTGGGAGGCCAAGTTGGGAAGGATCACTTGAGTCCAGGAGTTCAAGACCAGCCTGGGCAACATAGTGAGAACTATATCTCTACAAAAAATAGAAATAAAAAATAAAAAAATAAATTAGCCAGACATGGCGGTGCGTACCTAAGAGTCCTAGCTACTTAGGAGGCTATGTCAAGAGGATTGCTTGAGCCCAGGAGTTCCAGGTTATAGTGAGCTACAACTGTGCTATTGCACTCCAGCCTGGGTGACAGAGTGAGACTCTGTCTCTAAAATATATGTTTTTTATATATATATACACACACACATATATGTATATGTATAGTATATGTGTGTATATATAGAGTACATGTATGTGTGTATATTTATATAACACACATAAATATGTGTGTGTATATAGATACACACACACATATACATAGTCAATGGGAATTATCTAATTGAAATCTAAGTTCTCAACATTTCATGGGCCTATAGCAACAGATTAGTCTACATGTCAGGTCTATACATTTTGAAATATTTTAATTTCTGCATGACTACAATTAGAATGTTCAAAGAAAAGATTTTTTGTCCAAAGCCTATTTCTGCTAAAATTGTTATCTAAATCTGTTTAAATTGGCTAATATATTATTAAAAACTTGTCTAATAAATAAACAACTATGTAGGCAAGTTTGATAGGAATAAAACCAATGAAAATGATTATGAGTCATCTTTCTTGTTACATATCTGCTAGCAATTAATATTTCAGTAATATAAAGCTACATCTGGTCAACATGTGGCCAACATCAAAGGTACACCACGTCCTGTGCTATGAAGGAATAGGTCAACAGATAAAGATCCTGCTCTCCAAGAGCTTACAATCTAACCTAAAAGAGATTGCAGAAACACATGAGAGTGCTCATACTCAATATTTAACAGAAGGCCACAGATACACCAAAGATAAAGGAAAAAAATTATGAGATAAAAAAATGACATTTACAAAAGGGTGAAGGGAAGGAAAGAAGTAAATCGCTTCTTCATTCTCATTTATTTGAAAAAGGATTCATGGAAGATTTGTGATTTTAAGTGTTCTTAAAATCATGAGTGTATACGTGGCTTGTTGCCTGGAAAAATGAAAATCTCTTTTGGTATATGGTGTGGAGTGACTGAGGACACAAAGCCGGGACACTGCGGTTGGGTGCAGGGCCTAGCAAGACTTTATACAGAAGGAATGACCAAATGGAGGTTGGCCACTTGGGTAGAGGCCAGAAACTGACAGGAGGCACAGAATGACTGAGCCACACAATCAAGACTACTCCAAAGGGAACCCAAACCTTTGCAAAAAATCCACAGACTCCAGATTAAGGAAATAACCTTTGAAGCCTTTCTTCCTGGATTTCTTTTTTTTTTTTGAGAAGGAGTCTCACTCTGTCGCCCAGGCTGGAGTGCAGTGGCCGGATCTCAGCTCACTGCAAGCTCCGCCTCCCGGATTTACGCCATTCCCCTGCCTCAGCCTCCCGAGTAGCTGGGACTACAGGCGCCCGCCACCTCGCCCAGCTAGTTTTTTGTATTTTTCAGTAGAGATGGGGTTTCACTGTGTTAGCCAGGATGGTCTCGATCTCCCAACCTCGTGATCCGCCTATCTCGGCCTCCCAGGGAAGAAAGCACTTCCAGCCATGTAGCCCACTTTTGTCTAGAAGATCTCATTTGTTACTTTGTTTGTTTGCTCTCTTGCTCATTTGTTCAATTTCTCTTACTGGACTTGTTGGGCTATCCGGTCTACTTAATTATGCAGCTTTATCTTCCCTCCCTCCACAAAGGAAAGCAACTTTTTGAGGGTATGTTGATTTTAGTCAGCCTCAATTATACTACAGCCTCAGGCTAACTGAAAAGCATCATAGGCCTGGTTCAGGTGGTGACTGAGGTGTCAATGTCAAAGTACTCTATTCCTAGGGAGAACAATCAAAATGATGACAGATGCTCCCATCACAGTATCCTGCTTAGTCTTACTCCTTATTTGACAGTTCTGCGTACAGGGCATTCCAAGGATCTTTGGAGGAGGCTCACCCCATCAAAGAAGGCACATTTTAAGCAATACCTCTACTCACCTTGTTCACACCATAATGACAGTATTAAGAGTAATAATACCTTGATTTCAACTAATACCTCTTATTTTAAGGAGCTCAATATTCTTCACACATTATTCTATTTATCTTGTCATGTTACAGAGTCAACCAAAATCTCTGGTGGATTCCAGTCTCACACATTAAAAGCTCATAATACTGTTCTTCCTAACATTTAAACTCACATCCAACCTTAAACATACCTTGGGATAAATTTGAGTGAATAGGATGAAGTTATAGATATTTCCTTATACATGCACAGATCTGATACTCATTGCTAAGGCCCTTCATCCCATGAAAGCTCTTGACGAAGAGTCAGCCCCCAAAGCCTAACCTTGCAGTAATCCTCTACCTTACCTCTATGACAAGGTAGGAGAATGGTATTTAAGTTGGGATGGAAACATGCAGGATACCCACTCCTTAGTGGCAGGGAATCTCTGGGATCCGGGCCACCTGATGTCATTGCCCTCACGGCCCCTTAGTCACGTATGAAGGAAGGCCTGGAATCCCAATGCCATAAGCCTGTTTGTCCACCGTGGGTTTATTTTGTGTTGTCTTTAAGGCTGTGCTACACGTTTAATATTGGAGCAGTGGTGCAGAAGATAGCACAAAAAGCCCTTAGAAAAATCTCAAGCTTGCTAACAGAGATTAATGGGTTAATTTGGTTTTGAAAAATGAAAGTCAATGTACTTAATATGCAAATCATCTGCTAACATGTCTCCTTGCTATTGTGGCAACACAACAAGGCCTCATGCTGGGAACTCAGACTGAGCAAAGAATACAGGACTCCCCAAACTGATACCACCTGTGGGCAACACAGTGCCTTCCCAGCTACCTAGAGTGCATGTTTCAATGACTCAACAAGCTAAATTTAAATTACATTCATTTGCTTGTCATCTATAACTGATATATGTGCATTCTAATGATACTTCTGGTTTCTGTCTTTCTTTTTTTCAAGATAAGCATGCCTGATTCCAACTTCACATTGACAAATGGTTTTGGAAAATAGATCCCAAGAGAAGTCAGCATCTGCCCACAGTTCCCTTCCCAGCAGGAGACACACCCAAAGAATTCCATAAGCAACAAACTAAAGGATCTATTCCTGGACCAAAAGCTGCAAGAATCCTCAGACATTTCACTGCACCCTGCCCCCCGCCAGTCATCCCTGTCAGGGACTCTGATAAGCACTCTGGTTGATACAGCTATGCAGCAAATGGGCCAATAAGTATAAACAGCTGTACTTACATGTGTCTGGCTTGAGCTGACTGTTGGTAATGCCAAAGTACTGGGGATTTTCAATGACAGGGATCTTGGTCATTCCAATAATGACAGCATCTGGGCCACCTTCTGAAGAAGATGGGGTGTTACTCCCATTGGAGATGTGATGGAGTGGGCTGGCAGAGTCATCATCATTGCTGATAACGGAAGCTGGGCCTGGAGATAGAAAAATACATATATTCTCCTGTAATCAATGGTTTTGTTGAGCTGTAATTCACATACATAAAATTTACCCATTTAAAGTGTACAATTCAGTGGGTTTTAGTATATTCATAGAGTTGTGCAATAATCACTATAATCTAATTGTAGGACATTTTCATCACCCAGATAGCACTCACTCTCCATTCTCCCCACTTTCAGCTGAGGATATTCACAGATTTACACTCTATCTCTCTGGCATTTCATATGAATGGAACCATATAATATGTGATCTTTTGTAACTGGCTTCTTTCACTGAACATCATGTTTTTAAGATTCATCCACATTGTAGTATGTATTAGTACTTCTTCTCTTTGTATTGCCTAATAATACTCCATTGTGTGGATATGTCGCACGTTATTTATCCATTCATTTGTTGGTGGACATTTGGGTTGCTCTGGCTTTTTGGCTATTATGAATAATGCTACTACGAACATTCATATATGAATTTTTATGTGGACACGTGTTTTAATTTCTCTTGGGTGGAATTACTGGGTCATATGGTAGCTCTATATTTAACATTTGGAGGAACTGCCAAACTTTTCCAAAGTGGCTGCACCATTTTCTATTCCCACCAGCAGTGTATGAGAGCTCCAATTTCTTCACTTCCTTCTCCTGTAAGATAATATGTAGCTTTCCTCTCTGTTCTGTGATTGTCTCTAGAACACTCTGTCACTGAAACTCTCAACATGAATCTGGGATTCCTATTTCACAGAGCATTGAAAGTTCTTCTGGGAATTTCAGAATCTGGGTTTCTGTCTCTACCCTTTGGACAAGTCACTGACTTTCTTTGGATTTCTACATCCACTCATATGCAAAATAATATTTGCTTATTTTATGACACTAGAATGAGACTAGTAATAGGAAAATGTATTACAAATTTAAATCTGCTTCATGAGTATGTATTACTACTAGTTATTACTAAATGAACTTTAACTGGTAGACCAGATATACATTTGACTGTCCTATGACTATATTCCTCTTTCTTCATATTCTGTGAGTGTCTGCACCACTTTTGTCTACAAAACACTTTTATAACAATAATGGACCAATCCCATGGCAAAGTTACCTGCTTTGTCTTCAGCTGTAATACTCTTTATAGAGTCATTACTTGGTGTCTTTGTACTAAATTAATAATCATAGCATTTTCTGTACAAGACAAATTTTCTAGTCGAAAGTCTCAGAATGTATATGCTCACACATACAGTCTACTGTATCCTGTCTAAACAATTTACCCATTAGCCACTAAACTCATACTGTTTGCAACCAAAATTAGATTCGCAAAGATAAAGGTCTACGTGAAAGCTTCAAACCAATGAAGACAGCAGTGGCTCATGACAGGCACTGTCTACGTGGGAGGTGGACAAGGTATGTATTACACAGGCAGGAAGCAGACCACTGACCCAACTACTGCCATAAGCCCAGAGAAAGAATAAAGAGAAAAGACAATAGGGAGTGAAAAGGCAAAATCAAATGCCCAGCGAAGGCAAATGCCATGCCAGGAAAAGTCTGAATTGCTACTTCCTACGCAAGGAAATGTGCTTTCTTCCAACCCCCCCACTAAATGCATGTTTCAGCACTTCCATCCTTTTTCTGCCTTTTCCCTCACACTTAACTATTTTAGTGAGAAGCACAGCAATTCTGAAAACAAAAGTTGTTTTGTTAACCAGTCTTGAATCCCTTATGAAATATAATAATACCTCATCCCCCAACCTCCAAGATCCATTTTCCCCCCTCATATGGAGATTATCACAGTTTGTAGTGATAACAGTTGGACATTCCCCAGCTAAGCAGTGTCTTAAACAAACTATGCAGGAGACAGCCTGCTGTTATTATAGGTAATTTTTGAAGCATTCTCTCAAGGGATGTGCATTTAAGCTGCTTTTAATGATGCACTTCGGCTCACTTCTGCAAACAAGTCCTCACACAGCCAATTTAGAAGCCACAAAACACTCAAAAGCAAAGGAAGGCAAGCCCATCAGTTATGCTCGTCTTGTGTCTAGCTCACCTGCGTTAGGATACAGCAGAAATCCTGCCAAGAATAACTACAAAGACAAGTTCTTTCCAATATTCCTAATCATCCCTGTTCTGCAACTTGCTCCCTGACAGGCCTAGATCATCCAGCTTCTGGCCAGCAATTAAAAATGAAGATGTGTTGGCCGGGCGTGGTGGCTCATGTCTGTAATCCCAGCACTTTGGGAGGCTGAGGCAGGCAGATCACGAGGTCAGGAGTTCGAGACCAGCCTGGCCACCATGGTGAAATCCCATCTTAACTAGACGTCCAAAAATTAGCCAGGTGTGGTGGCACGCGCCTGTAATCCCAGCTACTCGGGCGACTGAAACAGGTGAATTGCTTGAACTCGGGAGGCAGAGGCTGTGGTGAGCCAAGATGGCGCCACTGCACTCCAGCCTGGGTGACAGTGTGAGACTCAGTTTCAAAAAAAAAAAAAAAAAAAAGAAGAAGAAGAAATGTTATGCTAAGTTTTCTGCAATAAAACGTCACCACTGACTCCCTTCCTTGGTTCCAGACACGGCTGTTACCTCCTGCAAGGTTACCAAAACATGCTCCCTACTGCCTGAGCTCCCTGAAGGACTACAGTCAAGGCTGCACATTTCTCAGTAGATTCCAGGCACTACCTTTACCCCCAGAAATGCAGGAGCTTCTTTTTCTTAAAATTTCTTGTTTTTATTTCAATAGTTGTTTGGGGAACAGGTGATGTTTGGTTACATGAGTAAGTTCTTTAGCGGTTTCTGAGATATTGATGCATTCATCACCCAAGCAGCAAACAATGTACCCAATGTGTAGCCTTTTATCCCTCACCCCCATCCCGCCCTTTCCCCACAGTCTCGGAAGTCCATGGTATCATTCTTATGCCTTTGTACAGGAGTTTCATTTTAAAACACTCCACATGCTGTCAGACATCCAGCAATGTTTCCTTCTGGAGCCCCTGCAACGATTAGAAATGCATTGACTCCAGTTGCTTTCTTCTCTGACTCTCCTCTGGCCCAGCATGCTCTGAAGTTCACGAACATCAGAGCAACGTTCAATCATGTCTGAGGAGGCTGATACCTAGAAGACAACTTGAGATTCCCGAATTCAGACTTTGAATCTTCTGCCAAGTGCACAGCGAAGCCCTCACTTAAAGAGTCCAACCAAGTGATTTGCTCTCTGCTTCTCCTTCCTCACTAAGGGATACCATTTTCTTTCCTAAACCTCTCCAATTAAAACCCCCAACTCCGATGGAACAGATTGGAAGGGAATGAGCTTTTGTTTGGGGAGCGAGAGGAGGATTAAGCATAGAAGCAGTAAAAAGTACCACAGGTAATTTTTCAAAAGGCTTTTCACTTTGCCAGAAAAATCACTGTTGACAAATGTGAGTAACACATAAACCTCAACAATTCATCAAGGGGGATATTAATTCAAGTGCTGTTTTCTTCATTATTGATGTTCCAAAACCTAGAAGACTGATATGGCTGTCAAGGTTGCAGGGTTTAAGCCCATTTTTCTGTGAACATTTTGATATAATGGAATGCAAAGCACAGCAAAGTTGGGAAGGCAGAAGCAGCTCTCAGCGGGGACAATGAATGTCTACATAATTTGACAGCAGCCTGTCTGCGCATATCACAGGATGTGTCTTTGTATGTCTATGCATGTGTTTGAGCAGGCACCACGAAAAAGACGGAAGAATAAAGGGGCACATCACCATGTGTTAAACGAAATTCATATGAGGACTTGAAAAACTGTATTATAATATTCATATAAAGTTTTAAATGGCGAGGTATGTGCACACTTGGCTGATTTAGGGTAAATAGTTCTAATCACTCAGCTGACAAACATGAGTTCAGTCTGGAAACATTTTTAGCCCATTTTTATTTTAATATGTCTTCTTGGTCGCATATCCTGTACTATGACTTTACAGACATTTCTGAGCCTATCGTAGACTTAATTTCCTGTGATAAGAATCACGAAGGTCATCTGGGGGAGTTTTCTTCTCTCAATACCAATAGTGCCTTCAAGGTGAGGGGAAGGGTTAGTACTCTTGAGCAGCTGTACTAAGCAAGCCTTTTTATATTCTGGATCCTGGTGCTTTGACATCTGGGGCCCTGCTGATCCTGGAGGGACAGCCCTCCCACAAAGGGTGAGTCAGTTCCTACAGATGGTAAATACCCTGCCTGGGAGCACACCTTTCAAATGCAAACCAACCAATCCAGAGACAACACCCCCAACCACCTTCCTGATGTGAGGCTCACACTTCAGGCCACTATCCACCTGCCCTCCCCATGCCAGGACCAGGTACTTGACAACTCTAGACAGCTCCTGTACCCTAGAGCCTGTTGAAATTATTCAGACTAGCCAATCCTAAACCTGTTTACCCTCCCTCCCCAGTTCCTTACCCTGGAAACACACTAAAAGCTCCTGTCCAAGTTCTCCCTTCCCTCCTCTGCCTCTTAATGGATCCCAGCGCTTCCCCATGTGGCTCTGCATTGCGTGGTGTGCCCCTTTCTTTTGGGAACCATGAGTAACACACTATCTTCTCAATGGCAATCATCTCCTAAACTGTTGGTCTCAGCAGACTTGAAAAATAATGAAACCTATGTTTTGTAAGAGCAGCACCTCTGCTGGATTGTAGCTGGAAGAATAATTCTGAAGAAGTCTCTGCTGTGGCCTAAAACAGTAAAACCACATTTTTGCAGCTTTTCAGGAACAAGCGCCCTTCAGCAGTGCAAATTGGCTTGAAAAAATATTTAAGTAGTTGGAATGACTTGCAATTTAGCAGAAGCAAGACCCTGTCTTATAGCACTGTGATGGGAGAGTTTATTACCACCTTCCCCAAAAACACACAGGATACACCTGTGCACGCATATGCATCAAACCCGTAAAACAGAACACCTTTAAGACTGCCCAGGCAGGATGATCCCTCCGGTATCTTGGTAAAGTGACAATGATCAGCTGTGTCTGAAATTTGCCCCTGGGGAGCTGCCTAGAAGCCCTGACTACTTGAGCTTGATGTTCTAACTTTGCCAGGGCTCCACTTCCCCTTTGCGGGTTAAGAACTTTAACCTTGGAATCCATGGAACTAGCAAGAGTGAAGGTGACTTTCCCCCCATGCCCAGGCCCCATCTGGCCAGGCTGCCTCAGCCCACTGGTCATTTTTGGATCCCTGGACAGACAGTGATAGAGGCTGCCCAACAAGACAAGGTCTGATGTCAGGTTCGAAAGTGACAGGAAACAGCTCCTTATATGGCCAGGATGAACAAGCATAGGGTGGATAGTTTGGAATTGAGCAGTCTCCTGACAAGGATACATTTCCCCTACTTTGACATTTTACCTATGGCCAACCTTGCTACCAAAAGAAACACTATACGAACCAACAGATGCCCAAGATGGTCGGATCTTGGAAACCCACGTGAAAGATGTAAGAATGCCTGTCTTCTCATGTCTTCTGAGCAATTCCTGTTCATTGTCTCTGTACCCATAGAAAATGCTGAACAAATTAGAGGTCCCAAGAGATCACACCTGATTTCAATTCTAATGATGCGCTACATCATCTGCATTCACTTGGTAAGCTACAAACTCTGCTTTTCAATTGTCAGCACATAGTCTGAATGCGGGGAATAGAATGCAATCAAGCACAAATCACAGCGTCTGGACGTTAGAATATGTTTTGAAAGAGGAATGGTCATAAATGGAAACTGATTTACCAATTCAGAACTCTATTACATCTTGGCCAATGGAAGAAAGTTAAGACCTAAACTTATCCAGCTTGACTGTTCAATCAGCGATTCCCTGTTGCATTTATTTTCTTAACCTTCTTAAAAATGCATCACAAACTAGAACTGGAACGACAGTTAACACTCCCCCCACAGGCTAAAAACGAGTCAAATCTAAAACTGTAAAACCATGTACTGAACTCAATTAACAACAGTAATGCCTCTTCTGGAAAAAATTCTAGACCTACTTCTTCAACAAATCAAAAACCAGGAACACAGAAAATGAATCAAAGACCGTGGAATGTAAAGAGGGTCCAAGCATTTTCATCCGAATAAAAACACAGACTCATTACTTATCCAAAGAAGGAGTGAGTTAACTACTTACCAACACCTTGTCTTGATTTTACTTTCCCAAATCCAAACCATGAGAAATCTGAAAACCACAACAAAACATAAAATAAACTTCGAAAGAGAAGTAGAAACCGGAGGTGGTCAACACTGTCCTTGGTCAAATAATGCAACAAACTCCCCCCGACAAAAAATAAATGAATAAATAAACAAACCACTTGGGATGAAAGCTTCCTATTAAACACCTGGAAACTAACGCTTGCATTTCTGTGTTAAGATTGATTTCCCATTCAGAGAACACGGAGACTCCAATCAGATAAGAGAGAGCAGCCCGTCTATGAGAAAAATAGCCACAACCCAGGGTTTAGGGCTCTGAACTGTTTTCCTTCTTTCTCACTTTCTTTCTTCCCCCTTAGTGGAGAGATCATTGCCTTGTATTGAATCATCTGACAGGGAAGCTGCAGGGGTGAAGACACACACAATGCACTTGACAAATGCACTACGGTTCTGAACCACAGCAATGTGGGAAAATAATAAGAGAAAACAGATCTTTTTTGAAGCTGAGACAGACAGTAAAAAAAAAGGAGCACAAAATTCCGTGGGAGAGCAGACACTTGGGCTAGATAGTTTAGGAGGGAGGGACAAAAAAGATCTTAATTCTACACAGATTCTTGCTCCTGACTTGCTGTGTGACGCTGGACTGTGTACAGCTGTTCTGTGCCTCTTACAACACAAGGTCCAGTAGGCACGTGTAAGAAAATATCTGCCAAACGTCTGGAGAGCCTCCCGTGAATAAAGCCACAGTGAAATGTCTGCTTGCTTCCGGAGCCCAGCTATTTCCTTCTAGGTAATTTCCCTGGGTTCAAAGTTAATTCCGCGCAGTGGGGAAATACCTGAATATGAGGAAGATAAAGGGAATGGACCCCAAATCAGTAACTGTGTTTCCCACCTCTTTCATAATTTTTACAGGCATTTTGGATAATTAGCTAGCTAAATTGAAGAGAAATCAATTTAAGTGAACACTGTACAGAAAAGCTCTTTGCACACTCAAAGATGACTTAGGAGGTTGTTGTCATGACGATTGCTCAAGGGTAAACGCAGGCTTTCCCTCCCTGGTATCCTACAACTTCAGCCCCCAACTTCTAAGCTGAAGTTTACTTCGGATCGATATTTTCCTCTGAATGCTTCCTTCCAGGTTTTAGAAGACGAGATGGAGGCCTGGCCTTGAGCCAAAGCCAAATAAAGATTCGTTTGCACAGAAGACAGTGAACTTCATTCATTGGAGCTGTTAGTCTAGGGAGGCAGAGTCCTGCCTACGGATTTCTTAGTTACAACTAACCCCATTTAAAACGAAGTGTATTATCCCACTGGTCATCTTTTGTTTTCCTATACTTGTTTGATTTAAACACTTTTTATTAAACCACAGATTGAATTTTTTAAGCCTAGTTTTTTTCACTTAAGTAATTTTTCAACATTACATTCTTGTTTTAGAGAGAACCCACCAAAGGGCAATGCCATCACAATCCCTCACTGATTGCACGTTTCAGATTATTTTTGATCATTAACTATAATAAACACAACTGCAATGAACATCTTTACACATCTTAAGCGCTCCCCTTCTCTTGTTAAAAATAATTCCCTTAGATAAATTCTAGAAATTGAATTACTCATTCAAAAAGAATGAATATTGTGAAAGTTCTCAATACAGGTTATCAAACTGCTACAACACTATGCCAGGTCTCACTGTCACTAACAGTATTTGAGAGGGTAGAAGGGTATTTTTGAGCTCTACCCAATGGGAAAACTAAAGAGGAACAATTTCCCCTTACAGGAATTGCTGAATTCCCCACCGTTGGTGTGGCTCCACCTAATTGGGAAGAGACCCGGCGAATATTCCCCTCCCATCGGTGTCCCATGAAACCATTCACACCTCACCTCTCCCAAGCTGGAGTTTTGCACAATGAGAACTGCAGATATACAGAAAATAAGAATTCCTCTCACCTGTGAAGTCATTACAGTTCACTGAGTGCCTCCACCCACCCACTGGGCACTTCTTCCTTGGTCCTCAGCCAAGCTTTGTTTACATGAGAAATTATCCTATGCTTATTGACGAGGAACTGAGACTCAGGGAGGCTGATACACTTAGCAAATCTCTCAGCTTGTGGTGACCGAGCCTGGATTCATATCTTCTGATGTCAAATCATAGTGGGTTTTTTTTTTCATTCTTTTTTAGTTGCATTTCCCATGCTCCAAAATCACCAAAATTAACCGAATTTTATAACAGTATAATTAGAATTCAATTTTAAATATAGAAAAACACTATAAATAGTTATTCATTCTCATTTATTTATTTATCAGGCAGAACAGAGCCTTCAAAGAGAAATGAGCTGCAAAGCAGCCCTTAAGAAGCTGGCCGGGCGCGGTGGCTCACGCCTGTAATCCCAGCACTTTGGGAGGCCGAGGCGGGCAGATCACAAGGTCAGGAGATCGAGACCATCCCGGCAAACACAGTGAAACCCTGTCTCTACTAAAAATACAAAAAAAAAAAAAAGAAAAAAAGAAAAAAATTAGCTGGGCGTGGTGGCAGACGCCTGTAGTCCCAGCTTCTCGGGAGGCTGAGGCAGGAGAATGGTGTGAACCCGGGAGGCGGCGGAGCTTGCACTCGGTGGAGGATGAGCCATCTAAGACGTAAGTTCAGAGTGTGGGAGCTCAGAAAAGAAGCCTGTATTCCAATGGAGGATTGGAAGGGGGCTCAAGAGAGAGGGCTCAGAGGATTTCTAGAAAATAGATTAGAATTAGCCAAGAATGGGAAAGAGCAGAGGAAAGAACGCTGACTGCACTCAGAATCCAGTTCTGGCTAAGGTGAGAAGTGCTGAATGTGTCCAGAGGCTGATGCAGCTGGAAGGTGGGTGGGGAGAGGGAACTGAGAGGTACAAGTAAGGGCCAAGTCAAGAGTTTGGATATGGTAGTGAAAATTGCACAGTTAGGCTCAAAAAAAAAAAAAAAAAGAAATCAAACTCAAGCCAGGAAGTAACATTGTCAAGATTAATTTTAGAAAAATCATTTTGGCTGCAGGGTGAAATCAGGATTACGGGAGGAAAAAACTGAAAGCAAGAGATTGGTTAAGGAAGTTTTTAGAGAAATCAAGGCATGAGAGAATTGTGGCCTGAATTGGGAATTTGGGAAGGGGAAGGTAAAGGAAAGGAGATGACTGCAGGCATATTTAGGGACAGTAGCAGAACTTGGTGATTGACTGCAAATTGAGGGGAGTGCAGAGAGAAAACAATGAAGGTTTCAGATTTGGACAATTAAGTATATGGTTATGCTGCCCACAGAGTCCCTAAGGAACTTAGAAGGAAAACAGATTTAAGAGTCAAACTGAGAACATGGGTTTTAGCCGCAAATTTCAAACAAGGTGCCTATGTGAAGAAAATGGAAAGCAATACCCTCAGTTGGCAGGATGGTCTGAAGCTCAAGACACAGGCTTAATATCAAAATTCTGGAGCCCATAGATCAACCTGAGAATGGAAACTGGACTCTCTACCTAGGATTCGTTTCTCATTTGGGCCTATACAATGTCCTGTCTTATAGGCACAAATGAAGGAGCACCCAGCTGAGGCCAACTTTTGACAAAATTATTCTTAAATTAATGAACTATTTCTACGTTCTGTTTAAAATTAACTCAGTCATTATGTAGGAGAGAATACAATCTTCTTGATCATACCACAGACTTCCTTGAACATTTAACAGACCAGATACAGAAAGGTCAGGCTGGCACCTCTTCCCTAGAAGCTGTTATGCATTCAACAGCTCTTTCTTGATGGATTTAAGCAGTCGTCTTAAAACTTTAACACTAAATTTCACAAGCAAAATTTTCCCACAAGGCCAAAAAGAAACAATTTCTCAATTTCCTGTGATGTTTCATCCATGGGGAGGAGAGTCCTGCCAAACCTTCTTTTATTTTCTGTTTAATCAGAGAGACTTTATTCACTCCAAAATAAAGGGCTCCTTCAAAAGTAAATGTAGCTGTACTGAGCTTAAAGAATCCCCTCCTTTTGGAATGTAGACCAAGAAAGACTCTAAATTATGAAATTAACCAATTAGATCCATCTCGTGTTGAAGAAAGCTCAACATTTTCCCTGACCGGAGAGAAGGAATATAGGAAAAAATAGCATGTAAACACATTAACAACTCTAAGCTGGAATTCAAATTAAATAAAATAAATGGCAAAAAAAAAAAAAATACTGCTTTTTAAATTTCTCTTAAAGGAAAGAGCTAAAACGTAGGGGGTTGAAAAGGAATATTTATGATGTAAATGAGAGAATCAGAGGAAGGAGCTGGGAACAGGCAACGTGGAAGAAACCTGACCTTCCCTGTAGGTACTGAATAGCTCAAACATTAAACATGAGGCTTAGAAAGGTTCTGATCTCAAGAGAAAACAGCTTCTGGATATTTTTAAGTTTCAGAAAAATCATTTTAGTATGTTAAGAGAAAATCAGCTTTCCTCCCTTCTAACGCTGAAGAAATTAAAATTTGCCACGTTCTCAAATGAATTTCTTTATGTTTTAAGGTAAGACTCACCACCCTCCACCCCCAAGAAAAATGACTTTACCATTGTCATGGAATCAAATGGTAAAATATGATTTACTAATAAAAATGGACTTCACCTCCAACTTCTTAGGACCACACCCACTCCCTAAAGGACGTTTGAAAGAGGAGTCTCTGGGCTGCTTTGCTTCAGGGAAAGGATGGACCAGAGTTGAGTCCAGAGTAGACAGGTCAAGTGCTTGCCTGAGTAGCCAATGAACTGTCACATCTAAGATCTAGAATGACTGCTCATTGGAGTGAGAGAAAATGAACACAAAATTCGCCTTGTTGACAGTATCATCATCTCCCTTTCCTACTGGCACATAATCGGGGTGAGTAATAGTGTGCTTCAAATTAATTCCAGTTCCTCCGGGCACAGAACAGTGTAGTTTGGGGCCAAGTTTCCACTTCAATTTGATCTTAATCTTTTACTTAAGGACATACCCTTAATAAAAGAAAGTCCCATCTCCACAGTCTAGGAAGAGGGCTTGCTTTGAG